GTGGAGGTGAACTTATTGGTGGTGAGGGCGGTGGTGGTGAATGAGGAGTGTAAACTGGAGCCGGTGGAGGTGAGACAACAACAGGTGGCGAAGGCACCGGGATCGGCGGAGACGGCGGTGGGGGAGCAGGTATGGTAGGAACAAAACGAGCACATCTAAATGAGTTGCAGTCCACAGGCCTAGACAAGAAAGACTTACATTGCGCCGCGCTCCTCTGCAAAGGCCTGGCAGGCAAGCAGTTTCTTCTGTCATCAAAGGCCGCCAACCTCAGGCAAGTTGGTGGCTCGCCGGTGAAGAAGTTGTACGAGAAGGTAAAGTTCTCCAGCTTAGGCAACTGACAAATACTTGCCGGAATATTGCCTGAGAGCATATTGTGAGCCACATTAAGCTGCTCAAGACTCACCATTCCTCCAATTGTCTCCGGCAATGGCCCCATTAACTTGTTGAAGCTCACATCGAAAACTGTAACGTTTTTAAGCCGCCCAATCTCCGCCGGCAAGCATGATCTCAACCCATTGTTCATGAAAATGATCTCATTCAGATTAGACATGTCAATCAGACTCGAAGGAAGGCATCCGTGGAAGTTATTGTTGGCGAGAACTATTACCGACACCGGCGAATGACCGAAATTGTCCGGCAGCTCGAACTTGAACCGATTGTGATTGATGAAAATGGCGTCAAGAGGTTTATCGAAAAGCTCTTTCGGCACAGATCCTTCGAATTCGTTGAACCTGAGATCTAAAAACTTAAGAGTCGGCAGCTGCAAAACCACCGCCGGAAACTTACCAGCGAACCGATTGTTGCTAAGATCCAACTCGAACAGCAGCTTCAAGTTCTTAAACTTATGAGGAACAGTACCACAAAACCGATTCGTGTTGATGTGGAACAATGCAAGATCAGTCAGCAACCCGAGCTCCTCCGGCAAGTACCCGGCGATATCCGCATGGTTGAGATCAATGCCGGCGACAGTCCGGATCTTAGGGTTATCAAGTGCGCGAGCACAGAAAACGCCAGTGTAGTTACACACATTAGATCCAACCCAATTAACAGTGAAATTCTGAGGATCGGAGAGAATCGCTTGCTTCCAAGCTTGAAGAGCCATGTAAGCATTTCTAATTCTCTGGTTCTCAAACACCAGATTCGGATCGACGGTGACGTTCTCTCCTCTGTCACCGAACTCGTCCCTGTAGTAAAGCAGCTGCCGCTGCTTGATGTAGAGCACTTCCTGGGCAGTGAGAGAGGCATCGCCGGAGAAAGAAAACTTCTCACCGGAACAAACGCCGCAAAAGACGGCAATGAGGAGGAGTAAGAGAGGAAAACAGTGAGTCGTCTTCTTCATCTCACATCAGACATCTGATTTTCCAAATGCAACTTTCCTTCCTCTTCCCACCGTCGCTGGTGATTTTGTCTTCTTCCGAACAGGGGACTGCTTTTCCGTTTGTGCAGTTGCTTTCTCTCCGTTTCTGAGATCGGGACAAGGGAATTTGGAGGAAAGAGAGAAAAAGGATTTTGCGATGAGGAGAGAGACGATGGGGTGAAGGGGGTTTTATTTGCCGAGGAATTTAGAGATGTGTGAGTGAGAAAACGCGCAGATTAGAAAAATAATATGAAAAATAATTATTTTTGTCGGACAGCTAAATTACAGCTCAGAGCCACCGGATTTTCTCGGTTTCTCTTTTACAACGGAAACTATTTTGTCTCGTCTTGAAAATGTTTTAAGGGTCTTTTATTTTACAGCCTATTTTGTAGCATATCATAAAATTAGAACTATTAAAAAAAAGAGAAGGGTCTAATATTAAAAGACTTAATATTAGGGGGGCTTTTTTCTTTTATGATTTTAATCTTATAGTTTATCATAAATTTTTGATGTTTTAATATTTAAGAGATTGAAATTTAACTTTTATATTAAAGATTTAAAATTTAAATCTAGAAATAAATGAAAATGAGTGTGGAAAGGAGGAAGGTTTTTTTATTATATAGTCTATCATTTGACATAAAAATACTATTTTATATTTAAGATTTACGAAATTATGAAACAAAAATCTTAAAATAAAAGGTGAATTTTTTTTTATATCAGACTCTCTTCTATTTAAGAGCTTTTAATTTTGAGTTGTGAACAAATGAACTGAATTGCCACATTGATGTTGATTAAGTTGAGATGAATAAATTTGAATTGGACAAGGCTGAATTGAAGAGTTGATAGCGCTTTTGACAACTTTGTTTCACTTACCAGGTCATATTTTGATTATCACTTTAAGAAAACTACCTTAAGAAAACTACATGAGCACCACTTAGTCCTATAAATATCTCTTGAAAGTCACCACTAGAGGTACTTTTCTAGTTTTGAATTTTTTTTCTTGATTTACTTTGACTTAAGAGTAAATTATTATTGATTTAAGTATCAAAATATCTATTTGAAAGTTAAACCTCAAGTTTATTTTACAAAACGTGATAGAAGAGATGAAACACTAAAGTGCCACCTCTTCCTAAGATGAACTAAAGAACTCCGTTATTCTTAGAATAAGCTAAATTGCCCACCTCTTTCAAAGATGAATCGAGGATTAAAAAGTCAAAAGTCATTAAATTTGAGATCAAGAAAGTTGAAATCAACATAGAGTTCATTTATGTAATTATAAGAGTTAAGT